GCGGGGGTGGGTATTCGGCGCTCCATGCACACTGACTGCAGGCATACATTCTCCCACACAACACTGCACAGGAAGGCAATACACGCGCACACGCCCTCACGCACGGACGACGCAGGCACGCACGCAGGCAGGCAGGCAGGCAACGATTGACGGACCCTCGCTTCAAAGGCAGGCAGACATCACTCAGACAACGGACGCCGGGTGTGTGTGTGTGTGTGACGTGATTGTGCGTGTGTGTGTGTGTGTGTGGAAACAGTCTCTCTCTCTCCCTCTCGCTCTCTCTCCCCTTGCAGGTTTCCCCACGTCATAGCACATAGAGACCAATACCAGCGAGCCATCCTGTGTGTCGCCACGCATCCCATACACAAACACTCACTCAGGCACGCAACACACGCACACACACGGGGAGACAGACAGCCAGGCAGACAGGCAGACGGGCACTCACACACAGACGCACACACGAGCCTCTCCCTCCCCACCACCAACCACACCAACCACACTGAATAATGGAGACATTTCTGCCGCCATTCGCCCTTTCCCACAAACACCATTCCCCCAAACACGCAACCACCCCCCTCTCCCTCTCCCTCTCCCTCTCTCCATCTCAGTCATGGCCAGGCCCCCCCTGCTGCTGCTGCTGGTACCCCCCGCCGCCACCCCCCTGGCCGCCGCGGGAGTCGTGTCGCCCAGAGCCCTCCGGGCGATCTCTCTCCCTGTCCCTGTCCCTGTCGCCCCTGTCGTCCCCACGGCCTCTCGGGGCCACAGGGCCGCCCATGGCATTGTGCCCCACCATGGCTGCTGGGTGTTGTGACGGGTGGGTTGCGTGAGTCGGCACGGGAGGCCCGCCGCCCATTTGCAGGGTGCGCGAGGGGATGCTGCCCGAGTCACGACCGTTGTACTGGTGATGCAGAGAAACACAGAGAGAGAGGGACAGATGGTGGGTGTTTGGGTGGTGGTGGTGGTGGTTGTGGTGTGTCTCTATCAGGGAGGGCTTACGTGTCCGCCCTGCTGCTGGTGGGGGTGCATGTGGTGCCCCTGGTGGTGTCCACCGCCGTGCTGCTGTGACGGCTGCTGCTGCTGGGCGTGCATGGGCGGCCCGGGGTGGTGCGTCGGCTGCGAGTGTGGCGGGTACATCGGCGCAGAGAGGGACGGCGTCGACGGGAACGGACTCGACTGACTGCTGCCCGTCGGGGCGCCCTGACACACAACACACACACACACACACAGAAGTGGTGGTCCTGGTGATGGTGCGAGAGGGTGTGTGTGTGTGTGTATGGGTACCTGTGTTGAGGCAGGATGCGGAGGACCGCCCATCATCATGTTGGTGTGGCCGCTATACGTGCCAGGATGATGCCCATGGTGGTGCCCCGGGTGACTCGGTGGCGGGTGGCTGGGCGGTGGCGAGTGCGCCGGTGGGTGTGCCGGCGGATGGCTGTGTGGGGGAGGCGT